ATTATGAAATGATGAATTGAATATGAAATAGAACAATAAAATATGAAATTGAATTATGAAATGAATGGAAATTGAATCATGAAATGAATGAATGAATCAATGAAATGAACAAATGCTGAGATAATGGACAACAATATCCTCCATAGTATTATCTATGGTTATATGTTAGCTCTTGGTTTTTCGGTTTGTACCTATAATCAGCGTACAAGGAATAATTGCATATTTTTTGTCAGTGGTTTGTGTTTATAACAATCAGATGTAATCGGTGTTCGTGACGTCACTTCAGCTTGTATCGCAAAGCGATCTCATCACTGATCTCTAAATAATATAAATAATATATCTCTTAATATATTATATAGATCAGTGGAATCCATGCAGAATGTAGAGTGTAGAGAGGAGGAGGGCGAGAAGTGGTAGAGAAGGAGGAGAGAGAAGCTGGTGAGAAGGAGGGGGGGAGAAGATGGTGAGATGAGGAGGAGAAAGGAAAGTGGTGGAGAAGGAGGAGGGGAGAACTGGTGGAGAAGGAGGAGGGGAGAGAAGCTGGTGGAATGAGGAAGGGGAGAAGGGAGTCGCCCTTCCTCGTCTCCACGCAGCTTGCCCTCTTCTTTCTCCAAGCTTTCCGCTTTCCTCATTCTCCACGCAGCCTTTTGCCCTCCTCTTCTGCCAGCGCATCTTCTCCCCTCCTCCTTCTCTCACCGCTCTCCTGCTCCTCTCTACCACCTACATGCTTCCACTTCTGCTGGTGATATAACACAACTATAACTTCTATTGATTAATACACAAACCACGTGACAAATATGCAAATTATCTGCTGTACCGGCTGAATATAGACAACGCCAAACTCCACGACAGATGGCGCTCATCGCTCTGGCTCAATTGCTACGACTGCCAAGCAAGCTATTTCCGTAAGAATTTCTTACGCCTTTTTTTACTATAAGTTAAGCGACGCGCCGTTACTCCTGTCCTATATAATACGGTGTGTACTTATTAAAGTGCAAAGATATAAATCCAACGATTATTATGAGAAATTTGATAAAATAGTGATAGAATAGTGCGCCATATTCTACTTCAATCATTACGCTGATTTTACTAAACTAAAGTTCAATGTATTATCATGAAATTTTTGGTATGATTGCCAATATACGCTAATTCTCGAACATTGTCTTTGATACATTTGTGCCGTATTCAACTTAAAACCATCTAAATTGTCCAACACAAACATAGCAAATCATAGAAATTTCTAATTAAACGACTTCGGGCCGTTGGATTGCATTGCTGATTTCTCCGGAGCTCGCCTTTTAGCTGATTTACATGATTAAGCTGATTCCACCCTAACCTGTAGGTTTGGAGTGGATCGAAGGGTAGGCAGACTACTGTCTTGTATAAACCCATCTTACATATATTCATCACATGGTTGATAAATTAATAGATTTAGATTGTATCTGCTTCTTCTGACAGGTTATTCCAGTTGATTTATCAGTCAAACTCTCGGCGAGTGAACAATTTGAGGCTATGCCACGAGTACTGTTGTTTCGGCGATCTTGTAAAGAATTTGTTGGTCAAATTATTCTGTAGCATTCATTAGTTGAAGTTTCAATAAGGCTCCTCTTAGTCTTCTTGTATCAGTGTTATAAGTCTAGTTTTTCTAGTCTTTGTTTCGTAGGAATAATGAGAATATTGGGATCATACGCGACATCCTTCTTTGCACCTTTTTCCAGGTAAACACTATATCTTTGCTGCATAGGAGGATTCCAAGATTGGACAGCATATTCCAGGAGGTCTAACGCAGTGATTGTAAGCTGAAAGTATGATTTTTTAGTCTTTTATATGTTATAGTCTATTGATTGACTCAGTATTTTGTTCGCTTAGTGGCAGCTATGCACTAATTGCTTGCTGTTTCTTAAGGGATTCAGTTAATGGTTACTCCAAGGTCGCTTCTCTGTTGTACTTGCTCAGATGTGCATTCATTCATGTTGTATTTATGCCTTTTGTTGTTGTAACCATAATGATACTTTTCATTTGTCAGCATGAACAACATTATTCAGTAATTGCAGGCATCTAGTACGTTGCAGTGCATGTTGCAGTGCTTCAGTGTCTGCTGTTGTGATACTGTTCTGAATTATTTGGTACATCTGCAAACTTTTAATATATGCTTGTGACATTTTCGTCTATGTCGTTGATGTAGATGAGAAACAGTACTGGACCTAGACGAACTTGAGGGAACCACTTGATACCCGTGACCAAGTTGAAAATTTCCCATTTTAGGCACTGCTGCTTCCTATTTGTGAGCCATGACTCTATCCATCTATGACGCTGTCCGGATACCCATGTGACTTTGCAGTTTGTTACAGTCGTTTGTGGTACCTATCAAGGCTTAAGAAAAGTCAGTATAATTGCATCCAAAGGGCTCATGGTCTACATACTTCGTCACTAGTTCGAGACTCCAGTAATTCGTTGGCATGACCTCCACTCATGACCATGCTGAGAGTCTGTTAATTTAGCTTGTGATGTTCAGATTGGCTACTAGGTGCCTGATTTGGCTTTCTAAACTTTACATATTAATAGAGGTTAGACTAATGGTCTATAAATTGATGCATAAGCTGCGCTTTCTTTCTATAAGATGGAGGTCCCCCAACATGCGCATTTTTCAGTCGTCTGTACTACACACATTCGATGGAGATTTCAATATTTTTGCGATTGGAGTGCAACTTCTTTCGTACTTCTCTAATGAATATTGGGCCTATGTGTCTATGCTGAGGAGCTTTATTTCGTTTAACATTGGCGATACTTTGTGTACTGCAATCTTCAAGATGAAGTATTTGCTGATTGCAATTCGATTGTCTTGTGAACATTGAACTGGTTGGGATCATTGATGATGTCTTCGTCTGTGAATACTGAAGTGAAAAACTGTTATGTATTTAGCTGCTTTTTGGTGGTTTTTTTGTCTGTTTATAGTGTTGCCATCAGAATTGTTGAGAGACAACTCTTCTTTGTCTTCAGCTTAGATCTCGTGTAAGGCATAGAGAATGATTTAGTGTTATTTGATATTCTAGCAAGTTTCTTTAAAGCTTTTTTTGCATGTTTATTCTTTGGTAGCTGCGTTAAGTGCTAATTTTATGCAGTGTAGTCTTCATGGGTTTGACTGCGGTATTTTTCCAACAGTTTGTGTTTCTTAGTCCTTGCATTAAACGCTTCTTAGTTATCATTTTGTTATTGTTGGCTCTACTTCTTTTCTTGGTAGCAAATTTGTCTACAGCATAATGATAGATGTTCTGAATGTTGTCCAATTTCGTTTGTAGATTCTTCAAAGCACTTGTCCAGTCCTTTGAACGCATGATCTCATTCTGCATAATTCTGCTTTGTCATAGTACAAAAATTTGTTATTGTACCTCGATTCAATAGAAGAATAGGTCGCCATTGACAATTGAATGGTCTGTTAGCTAAGCTGTTCGTCTACGTGATAGCTTTCTACATTCTTCATTCAAGTTGAGAGGGACGCAAGTTCTAATATATTGTTCGCTCGTGGGTATGTTCATGTTTGTATAAGAAAGCAGTCCCAATGAGATATAAGAATACTGCATAGTGCGTCTGCTCAGTGTATTTCAATTTATTGTGTGTAATTAATTCTCCAATTATTAGTGCTTGTGATATTGCTTGCTTCTTATGAGATTGTGCATGATGTTCTGACTCTATTGATGCGATGGGCTGTGTAGCAGTTGTCCTATTGTAAGAGTGCTTTACATGTGTGATGTCACACATAATAGATTGTTCAAAATTGGTTTGTGAGCTTTTCATTTGTTACTGCAATATATAAGAGTGAATAATAACAGAACACTCTCCAGGCCTCTTTTCTACCTTCTATCCTTTCTGACGCTGTAATTATAGTATGACTAGCTCGCTGCTATACTCAATCTATGTGTCATGCTCAGTAACTCAACAATTGTCTGGCTTTGTCTGTGTAATATTAAAGTGTAAGTCTGGTAGTTATTTGTCATGACGCTTCTGCATTAACCACGACACATTTGAAAACGATTTCGTTTAGATTGTGATTCATGTCTCTACTGTTGTGCTTCGGTCTGATTGCAGTTTGTTCTGGCCTATTTTAAATCCTGAATCTTTATTGTTATTGTGGTTTTATGTTTGTTTTCCTGACCTGCTAGTCTTTGGGTGGGTGGGATCTTCATTTGACCCACCTCTAGCTTGTTGCTATAGGCTTCCTGGTAGTATTTTCTACTGCCTTTAGGGTTTTTGACAATCATACCCTTCTATTATGTAGCATTTATGGCTTGTTCCTAGCAATTAATTTTTCTGAGCTTTTTGACTTCCTCCTGTTCTTTTTGTGAGTCTGGCGATATGTAAACAGTTCGATTCTTCTATTCGCCTTAGTTCTTTGGCATTGATAGTATAACTCTCTTCTTCTCGTTATCAATCCAGTGCTAAGTAAGAGTCTGGGTTTGATCCGGGTCTTTCAGCTCCTAGTCGAATAGTTTTGTAATTACTACATCATTCACTTAGTGTTCATGATTTCTTGATTTAACCTTATTGTCATCTTCCTTCTCATGTTTGGGTCAACTTTTACTCTCCTCATGCAGTGATATAGGTGTTTCTTCTCGCGTTCCACTGTCATTGTACTCATCGATGATGTTTATTGATTTTGTCTACATTTGTTGCGCGGGTTCTGCACTGGATATTTTAGTCTCGCTTAATTTTACAATGTGGATAAGTCTTAGTGACTATACATTCCCTGTGTGAGTTTATATTGAATGACATTATTCATTTACTTTTCTTCACACTGGCCAGCAATGCCCCATTAATTTCTTCTCCAGACAAGTTGTTTATGTCGCGGTTCTCTGGTTGTCTATTTTGCTACGCTTTGGACCTCTTATCATAGCATTGTTTGACAACTGGTTGCATCTTTACAATAGAAAGCTGATTTTTGGCAAAAAAAAATTTAAATAATGTTGAAGCATTTCCATACTTTGTTACTTATTTTACCACATCCGAGACACAGCCATGTGTTCAGCATTACACCTCAACCAGTAGCTCTACTTTAACAACAGCATTCATCACAGACAACATCTCTCAGATTGATGTCATCAGCCTGTATTAACTTTGCTCATCTTCTCTTAGATTTGATGGTGTGAGATTGTGATGCCACTTCGCAGCTAACAAAGTATGTTCTTGAATGTTATGGAATGTTTCTTTTAGGTTAGCAGACATTATTCAGTAACCTCTAATAACGTGTTTTTAGGAAAGTTTTCTGACATTCGAGAACGTTCTTTACAAACTTCACAAATAAAATGATCAACTTCCGAAAACGACATATAAACTGCAGCACACTAGACGCTGCAGTCTTATATTAATGTCATCAGTACGGCAAGTATAACCATCACTACACACACACAAGTACACACAGTATAACTATCTCTATCACTAACCTTAACACAAATTATAAAGCGACTCGCTCGTATATGATAAGCATCTAACACAGATAAATTAATCTATGTGTATATAATTCTTTGGCTTTCAATCACAACAACTAACTGTTTCTGGAACTGACAATCATCCAAACAACTAGTGTAGGCTTAGCTAATTATTAATTATTAATAATTTATTAATTAATTAATTAGGCTGGAGATTAATTAATAACTAGTGAACGACATTATTTTGTGGAAAAGCGATGCATGCGCAAATGGACTACCGTACCCGTAGCCTCGAGACATTAAGATACGGCTACCGTCCCCGTAGCCACTGCGAACAAAAATACATTTGATACGTGTGCTATAGTTTGCAACATCACAAAAACGGCAATTTTCGTGCCCATCCGAGGACGGTTAACGTTTTCCGAACATTCTAAGAACATAACTCTCTCACCAAGTTAAACCAATAAATGCATAACGATATGGGAATGTTCTTAGAATATTTTTGGCTAATGTATAACCAAACTATAGAACCTCCAGCGAATGTTACGAGAATGTTCCGTGTTTGCTGGGTTACACTAGCCCTGGTTGACGACTGGGAGCCGCCGTATTGCCTGTTTGAATCACTCTCTAATTTGTTCATGACGTTATCTGACCCAGTTCTATTTGAATTTCGTCTTAAGAACTTTTCAGGAGTGATTTTCTTTAAAAATAGTGCTAGCATTGTGGCAGTGGTATTATCCTGAGTGTGGGAAGGGGCACTGCATGCAGTTTGGACAAACCCTTGGTTTTCACGAGGCGAGCGAGAAGGAGAGAGAGCGCATGTCCGGAAATGACGTCAAAGCATGTTCACTTGTCACTTTGTGTGAAAAATCCATGAAGTGCTACCATTTAATAGTGCGTTTGCGGAAAATGGCCAAGGGCAACCTTGATTCAGGTTATTGACAGCGGAGACGAAGTTATATGACCGCGTAAGTGGCCCGGGCAAAGTCGACGAGAAATGTGACGGCCGCAGGACATGAATGGTAACTGAAATGGCGTGAAATACGCGAGCGGTGAAATCGTGACAAATGGTCAAAACAAGGTGAGGTGGCCGGGTGAAACGACGTATTGTCGCGCCTTTGCGACAACAAATGGCCCGTTTCTTGCTCGAAATTAGTTGACAACACCTTCAAGATGACCTCTGTTAATTTTTAAGACTGTACCCCCACATTAACCAAACTCACGACATGGGTGTGTAAACGCTACTTTGAGCGATCTAAACGACCTAGTCCGGATCATAGGGCCCCCGTCTATGTCCCCCAGGGTTCTGCCGGAACGTACCCCCGCCGGTATACCGGAACGTACCCTGGTCACTATTTGATATGGTTAGGGTTAGGATTAGGGTTAGGGTTAGAGTTAGATACAATAATGTAACCCAAACCCAAGAGGATAGGGTTACAACGCGAGCCTATACCTTTTTGCGGAGGAATGCCCGAGTGAATCACTCGGGCC